GCCTTCTAGCCTGCGCTGCTCACATGGCGGCAGTCCAGGACGACGGAGCTGGGCAACGGCTCTGCCACGAGAGGAGCACGTGCTCATCTCCCCGACGGGACCAGCGTCAACTGCCCCGGGGGACGCGGCACCCGGAGCAGCCCGAGCACGCGCAGTCTGACTGCTCCTCTAGAGCCAGACTGTGCTAGACAGGGGCAAGCTCTGACGTGAAGCCCCAGTCATCCCTGCTAGAGGCTGAGGCAAATGCAGGAAGGGCTCGGGAGCAGCCGGGCTCGGGATGGAGCACGGAGCAGCCTGGAACACGGCAGGAGCCGGGAGCTGCCCCCTGCACAGGAAGCACCTCCATCCCGCGGGCCGCGGTCGTACCTGCCAGGACCTGCTGTGCTAGACAGGGGCAAGCTCTGACGTGAAGCCCCAGTCATCCCTGCTAGAGGCTGAGGCAAATGCAGGAAGGGCTCGGGAGCAGCCGGGCTCGGGATGGAGCACGGAGCAGCCTGGAACACGGCAGGAGCCGGGAGCTGCCCCCTGCACAGGAAGCACCTCCATCCCGCGGGCCGCGGTCGTACCTGCCAGGACCTGCTTGCACATCGTGTCCCGTAGATACTTGACGGCCGGGAACTGCAGGCTGCTCCCGGGCTGCACGAGGAGCTCTCCCTGCATGGACACCTGGAGGACCCCGGAGTGAGGGTGGTGCGTTGGGGAGGGAAGAAGGACACTGTGGTCTTCCCCGAGCAGGGGAATGGCCCGTGTGACAAAGCGAGGGGCCGTGTGCCGTCCCTGCTGGCGGGCAGCGTGTTGGGACCATGCACTGACAGCAGCTGCACAGGTGGGATGGGGCAGAAGCAGGACATGGAATATCCTGCCCCGCAGCCCCCGTGGGACGTGCTGCAACCAGGGCCGTGTCCTGCGCTCGGCCAGCCTGGCCGGCCCGTGTGAAACCCACCTTCATGGGCGGCCTGGCAATGGGGTAGAGCAGGAGGAGCCCCGAGACCAGCACCCCGGCCATGATGCCGTACTGCACCTCCCAGAAGCACAGCAGGAACGTCACGCACAGCGGCACAAGGTCCAGCCCTGCAAGAGAGGGAGCCGGTCCCGTGTGGACCTTGTCCTCATGTCCCCAGGCCTGGTGAGATGGCGCCTGCGTTGGGACATCCCCCAGGGCCTGGTGGTAACAGCCAGGGGGATGCACGGGAGGGAGGAGCTGCCTGTGCAGAGACAAAACCCCAATTTCTGGTGCTTCAGGCCTCCAAGCTGGGCCTGTGGCACTGAAGGGCATCGGGGTGAGTGCAGGAGGGTCCCCAGAGCTGGGGCAGAGCCCTTGGTTGCTCTTGGGAGAAACGGCAGGGATTGCTGCCAGCTGCTCGCAGCCCACGAGAAGGAGAGGGCCCAGGGCAGGGGCCCAACCGTCCCCTCTTGCCCGGTACCCGGGTGGCCCCAAGGGGCTACCGCATCCTCCCTGGAGCACAGCGGGATGCAGCGGCTCCAGCCCTTACTCTTCACCCGCCACAGCGTCCGGAAGATCGCGGCGTCGAACATGGGCATCACGGCGCAGATGATGACGGCGGCCAGCGCCGCTTTGGGGATGTAGTAGAAGCAGGAGGTCAGGAAGGCCAGCGAGAGCAGGACCAGGGCGCCTGCAGGAGACGGGGTGCATGAGCCAGGCGCCCTCGGCACGCACAGTGCCTGAGTGCAGGCAGTGCCACTGCGGTCCCCACCTGTGACGAGCCCGCCCGCGGGGGTGCAGACGCCCGTCTGCGCATTCACCGCCGTCCTGCAACACCAAGCACGGAGCCTGTCCCCAGCTGTGGCACCGTGGCCATGCGGGGACCCTGCAGCCCCATGGGATCCACAGGCTCCCACCCGGGGGATCCATAGGGAGGAGCTCCCGGTGCCGGCAGGACTGCAGGGATGCACTGGGCACCGATGGCGAGCAGGACACGGCTGTGGGGATGCCCTGCGGCCAGCAACCCCAGCGCAAGGTGCCCCGCGCCGCAGCCGCTCCTCACCGCCCAAAGCTGCCCGTGACCGGGTACGAGGAGACGAAGGAGCCCAGGAGGTTGGTGAGACCTGCAGGGGAGGAGGAGGGCTGGGCATGGCCGCCTGGCGAGGCCGGGATGGGGCGGCCGTGCCCTGGGTAGGGGGGCTGTGATGGGGATCCCTGAGCGTGCGAGGATGGGAAAGACCCGCTGCAGAAGGCTGGAAAATTCCCCCCAGGAGGAAGAGGGAGGTGCGGGGCTGAAGGACGTGCTGCGTGGAGGAGAAGCGGCTGCTCTCCTGCCCGTGGGAAAGGCTCTGAAGGGGCCTTTGGGCTTCCCCAGGCCAAACCCCGGTAGCCCCACGTGTCCGCGAGGGCTCTGCACTGCCCGCGTCCCTGGTGCATGGCCAAGGGGCTGGGGACCAGCACGGGCCCCTCCATGCAGCACCTGGGGGCTGCTGTCCCCCAGCGCAGGGAGAGGGGACGCACAGGGGACACGGCTGCTCTCGGGCCACGCTGTCCCAGAGCAGCGCCTTACCCATGGCCAGCAGCTCCTGGTTGGGCTCGATGCGGTAGTCGTTCTGCGAGGCTGAAGGCAGGAGAGCATCAGGATGGCCCTGGTCCCGGCCAGGCCCTGCCAGCCCTGGGGCCACGCGGAGCCGCTCCCGCGGCCCCCCGGAGCCGC